GTACCAAAGAATTCCTGTGATAAAGTGGAAAAGTGGTTGAGCCTCGTCATCTAAACAGACTTGTAAATATTTAGATTATTGCTATAAAGTTCATTTTGAAAGAGTTACTTTGCTAAAATCATTTTTGCAATAGTGACAAAATATTCTCGATCTAGTGTATATTATTAATAATATAATTCACCAAGAGGAAATTTTCATAGCAAATCGCAAATTTGGGCAGATTTAGTTTCTTACTAGCACTTTAACGAGGCTTTAACACGGTTTTTTGACAAGTATGAACAATTAGAATACTTCGTCAAAAAACCTTGTTAATGGTGCTAGTAATAAACTAAATCTGCCTAAATTTGCGATTAGTTATGAAACTTCCTCTTGGAGACCTATATTATTAATATACACTAGATCGAGAATATTTTATCGCTATTACAAAAATGAACGATTTTAGCAAAGTATTTAATAGCAAACCCATATAACCTTAATCTAAATAATAGTTTTCACAGATCACAAATATTTCTGATGTTCGATGAAATAAAACATATTGTAGTAGAAGATAAGCGCATGTTTCTTAAGCTACAGAATTAAGCCAATTATCAGTATCTAGTCAATTTGATTTCGCGGAATATAAATTTCAGTGTTCGAGTTTTGGTGATGAATATTTTTTTTTTTTGAAAATGAAAAGATGATAATAATTTGAATAATTTGAAATAATGCCCTAAACTATTTTAACCTTTGTTCATCGATGTTTCTTTTATAAAAAATACAAAATTTTTTATCCAATGTTTGTTTTCTTCATGCCAATCCTCTTTCTTCTTAATAACTTTTCTAAAGGCTTCATCGCCAATTATATTCCTTTGATTGATATAGAATAATCCAAGGTTGACTGCTTGCATTTTAATTTCTTTTAAACGAGCGTTATGATTAAAATGATGAAGATGATCGAATAGATTTGCTAAATTTTTTCGTTGTAAATCATTTATCTCCAGGTTATTATTACGTAGTGGATCTATTTCTTTCTCCAAATAGCAATTAAATGATTCAACTAAGATTTTTTTTTGTTTATCCTTAATTGTGAAAACATGAAAGTGTTCTATCGAAAGACTTAATCTTTTTATGTTATCCTTAAGATCGCTTAAGGATTCTATCTGAAGTTCATCTATATTTTCATTTAGTTGATCTTTAACTAATGATTTATCAACATCCTCACTATGCGTAAAATAATAAAGCATTAAGAATATTGCAAAGTAAAAAGTTTTTTTCACGATTTTTAGATTTAAATTAGTTAAAAAATTTTTTATTTTAAATAAAAAAGAGGAAATTGTAGTATTGAAGTAAAAAAGAGGCAAAAATTCAGAATTAAAAAAGACTTTGTTTCTAGATAAATAAAATTTGAAGATATTCTCAATGAAGATAGGTTGAATTGATTTTCGTTCTGATGAACGTCTACTTTTTATCGTATTATCTGAGCAAATGGATTCGGATTTGTAGATAGTACTCGTAAATAATACAGAAAATCCGACAACGAGACCAGGGAACAGCAAGAAAGATGGAATCGGAATCATATTCAAAATTAATATCGAGGATGCAAAAATCAAAATAGCAATAATCAAAGAAGTCAAAAAAATTAAAGTCAGGAAAATTGTATAAAAAATTTTCAGCAAAAGAAAATATGCAATTCTTAACAATAACGCTAAGAGCTTTTTACTTGACATTTTGTAATTGTAATTTTTAGTCAATTCTAAAAGCTAGATTTTTACATGGTTCTTTTAATCCATTTTTTTCGTAAATGAACTTGTTCAAATAAAGAAATAATTAAAACAATTTTGTTTTAATTTATGCTATCTTTGCCGCGGCTATTCATATTATCTATTTTACAAAACATTAAAAAGAAACTCCGAGTTGTGTATGATGTACAGTATAATATATAATGCTGATCTGTTACAATTTAAATGCGTTAAAACATATCTTTCCAATTCTTTGCACACTATTGAAAAAGGCTTTGTTTGATGATTGATTCAAATAAGAATAACTAATCATATTTGAACTAAATTATGAAATTTATGTTGTCTTCGCCGCGATTATTCGTATTACCTTATTTTTACAAAGCATCAAATGAAACTCCGAATTATGTATGATAGTGTTGATCAGTACGCGCGTTAAAACATACTGATATAAACCAAGTTTATTCGTTCGCTATTTCAAAAAACTTTGTTTTATCGTAAATGAACTTATTCAAATAAGGAGGAGATAATTAATTAATATTTGACTTAATTTATGCTATCTTTAGTCGCGGTTATTCATATTACCTATTTTATATTGAAACTTCGATTTCTATGATAAAGTTAATAATTTAAATATGATATCGATTTATAATATAAATGCAGATCTGTTACTCAATTGTACGCGAACCAAAAATATATAAAGTATAATTTTTTTTTTGTCATTTAATGATATTGAAAATGACAGCTTAAGAGAAATCAATATTTATTGTTTGCAAAATTAAATCTGCAAGAAAATTTTATGTGAAATTTTTTACTTGCCAAAACATTCTTATTTTTTTATTAATTGTTGAAATTATAACAATTTCAATAATCTGGTTGTATGTATATTTTTGGTTTTCTACCCGGTACATAGAAGTTTGAACCGATTTTTATCTAGTTTTATAGGATCAAGCATTCATATTTGTTTATTGAACCTTTCGAGCCAATTGTGCATGGAACTTTTGGTGTCGATCAATATAAATTTTGGTATATAATAGATCAAATAAGAGACTTTTTTAGTGAAATAAAGTCAGGATATCGTGGGTTCGGACATCCAGATTATGATGGGTTAGTGCCGTATTAAATTGTCAATTTATCCAACTTGGATTGGTTTTCTTGCGAATAGAATTTATGGTAGTAATAGTTCGAACATCTGTATTGATATTTTTGTAAAATAGACTTTTTTAATTTATTAAACTAATATTAACGTAAAGTTAAATTTGTATTTATTATCTAGTATAAATTTGTTAAAAATTAGTTTCAAATTTTTAGTGCTGGGCCGAATTATGTTGGTCATGGGCCAGGTAATGATTTATTATATTTTTGGCTTTCTCCAGCTGGTGCATAGAAGTCCGAACTGATTTTTATCGAATTTTTAAAGGATCAATAAGTCGCAGCATTCATATTTGTATTCTGAGCCAATTGTGCATAGAACTTTTGGAATCTAATAGTACAAACAATGAGACTTTTTTTGTGAAATAAGTCGTGGATTCGGGTATTCAAAATATGATCTATTGCACATTGGTACGGCAGACTATTAATTTAAAGCTTATTTCTTTCAAGTTTTCTGTCAACTCCAAAACTTTGTTGCAAATCTAACGGCCCCATGAACAAATCCGAATATTATATAAACCAGGTTTCACTGCATAAAACACTACGTATTTAAAGATTTTCATTATCATTATGTTGTAATATTATTGTTAATCCTTTAACTTTTTATCGTATACAAAAACATTCCTTTAAAACTTTTTTGTCATATTTTACTTGACAAATATTATTTAATAATCGGTGATACAGTATAAGTTCATTAATAAATGTCTGAAAGGAAAAAAAAAGTTCCACCAAGACCTATATTGAACATATTACTGGAAACGTTAAATTAGCTAAGCCGTTTTATGATCCAATTACTCCAAAAGCGAAAAATTTAGAAGCTTGGAAGGAAGATTGGAAGAATTACAATCAAGAATTGTACAATAAGATGGTCCAAGAAAAACTTAATTTGAACTGGATTGAATTTTGTAGCAGATTTAATCAATGTAAAACGTTGTATGAATCAATCAAAGAAAAGGACTTCACTTCTGCCCATAAGAAAAATAAAGAAATAAATAAATTGATCAGAGAAACAATTCCAAATGAAAACTATTCAAATATTTACTCAATAACAACATATTGGAGGAAATCATATGACAATTTGGCTTTGATATTCGAAGGTATTAATTAAGAATTTTTCTGAAAACTAGCATTATCCATTTTTCATATTAATACAATAATGCAATTAATTACTTTATTATTTAATTAAGCTTTTGATAAAGATAATATTCCAAAAGAAAAAATACTCGAAAAATTGAGATGTTCAAACATTATGATTAATTATTTTCAAGAAGCTAATAATGAAGATATTTTGAAATTAACAAGTTGTTTAAAGGAAGATATGTAAACCTACACTGGTTAAAGTTGGTAGAGACATTATTTTAAACTTTTAATTAAATATATGATTTTATAAAAATATCAATTTTTCAATTAAGATCTTTATATGTTTAAATTTATTAATACGCAATTAAGAGTTGTATTATATGTTTTTTTTAATGATTTTATAGAAAATATTCAAATTTTTAATTAAGATTTTTAATTTTTAATATATTGAAAAATGTATGTTAAAATTTATTGATAATTACATGTTTTCTAATATAAATATTATTAAATAGCCGGCCGGCGGCTACCCAGGGTTTTGCAAGTGCCGGGTAGAGATGAGATCTGCACATCTAACTAGGATCACATCATGTAATCTTGTTAGTTTAATTTTGGCCAAAAACAGATGAACGAACCACATAGAGATGTTAATAGTTTAACCACTTTGTTAAAACGTGATTTGAATCACACCCCGTGCCTCCACCTAGTTATACTACTTAACATCCCTAACTCAGAAGATAATTAAATTAAAAATTTAGCTAACTTTAAGTACCAACTAGAATTTTGTATTACTGTGAAATATTGGAACATCTGCTTAGAAGATACTTAAAATGTAAGATCAACATATGAAATTAAAAATTTAGCCAACTTTAAGTACCAATTAGAATTTTGTATAACTGTGAAATGTTGGAACGTCTTGTATAATCTACTCAAAATGTAAAGATTTATTTATTTAGCAATTTTAAGTAATTAAAATTTTGTATAACTGTGAAATTGCATAATCTGTTGCATAGGGGATACTTAAAATATATGATCTGCTCAAGATTAATTCTAGTTTTGTAACTGTGAAATGTTGGAACGCCTTGTATAATCAACATATGAAATTAAAAATTTAACCAACTTTAATACCAATTAGAATTTTGTATAACTGTGAAATGTTGAAACGTCTTGCATAATCTACTCAAAATGTATAATCTGCTTAGGAGATTCTCAAGATTAATTCTAGTTTACTAACAAGACTTATTTATTTAACCAATTTTAAATAGTTAGAATTTTTGTATAACTGTGAAATGTTGGAACGCCTTGTATAATCTGCTTAGAAGATACCTAAAATGTAAGCCTATTGCATAATCAATCATATGAAATTAAAAATTTAGCCAACTTTAAGTACCAATTAGAATTTTGTATAACTGTGAAACAGGAACGTCTTGTATAATCTACTCAAAATGTATAATCTGCTTAGGAGATTCCAAGATTAATTCTAGTTTACTAACAAGACTTATTTATTTAACCAATTTTAAATAATTAAAATTTTTGTATAACTGTGAAATGTTGGAACGCCTTGCATAATCTGCTTGAAATTAAAAATTTAGCCAACTTTAAGTACCAATTAAAATTTTGTATAACTGTGAAATGTTGGAATGTCTTGCATAATCTACCCAAAATGTATAACTGCTCAGGAGATTCTCAAGATTAATTCTAGTTTACTGACAAGATTTATTTATTTAGCCAATTTTAAATAATTAAAATTTTGTATAACTGTGAAATGTTAGAACATCTTGCATAATCTACCCAAAATATATAACTGCTCAGAAGATTCTCAAGATTAATTCTAGTTTACTGACAAGATTTATTTATTTAGCTAATTTTAAATAATTAAAATTTTGTATAACTGTGAAATGTTAGAACATCTTGCATAATCTGCTTAGAAGATACTTTAAATGTATAACTATTGCATAAGCAACATATGAAATTAAAATTTAGCAAACTTTAAGTACCAATTAGATTTTGTCTAACCATAAAAATGTTGGAACGACTTGTATAATCTGCTTAGAAGATACTTAAAATGTAAGACTATTGCATAATCAACAAATGAGATTAAAAATTTAGCCAACTTTAAGTACCAATTAGAATTTTGTATAACTGTGAAACGTTGGAATGTCTTGCATAATCTCAAAATGTATAATAATTAATATTTTGTATAACTGTGAAAGGTTGGACCGCCTTGTATAATCTACTTAGAAGATACTTAAAATGTAAGACTATCAACATATGAAATTAAAAATTTAGCCAACTTTAAGTACCAATTAAAATTTTGTATAACTGTGAAATGTTGGAACGTCTTGCATAATCTGCTTAGAAGATACTTAAAATGTAAGACTATTGCATAATCAATATATGAAATTAAAAATTTAGCCAACTTTAAGTACCAATTAGAATTTTGTATAACTGTGAAATGTTGGAATGTCTTGCATAATCTACTCAAAATGTATAATCTGCTCAGGTGATTCTCAAGATTAATTCTAGTTTATTACTGACAAGATTTATTTATTTAGCCAATTTTAAGTAATTAATATTTGTATAACTGTGAAACGTTGGAACGCCTTGTATAATCTGCTTAGAAGATACTTAAAATGTAAGAATATTGCACATAATCAACATATGAAATTAAAAGTTTAGCCAATTTTAAGTACTAATTAAAATTTTGTTTAACCATGAAATGTTGGAACGTCTTGCATAATCTACTTAAAATGTATAATCTGCTCAGGAGATTCTCAAGATTAATTCTAGTTTACTGTTAAGATTTATTAGTCAATTTTAAGTAATTAATATTTTGTATAACTGTGAAATGTCAGAACGCCTTGTATAATCTGCTTAGGAGATACTCAAAATGTATAATTAACATATGAAATTAAAAATTTAGCAAACCAATTAGATTTTTGTATAACTATGAAATGTTGGAACGACTTGCATAATCTACTCAAAATGTATAATCTGCTCAGGAGATTCTCAAGATTAATTCTAGTTTATTACTGACAAGATTTATTTACTTAGCCAATTTTAATGTAATTAAAATTTTGTATACCTGAAACGTTGGAATGCCTTGTATAATCTGCTTAGAAGATACTTAAAATGTAAGACTATTGCATAATCAACATATGAAATTAAAAATTTAGCCAACTTTAAGTACCAATTAGATTTTGTTTAACCGTGAAACGTTAGAACGTCTTGCATAATCTGCTTAGAAGATACTTAAAATGTAAGTCTATTGCATAATCAACATGTGAAATTAAAAATTTAGCCAACTTTAAGTACCAATTAGAATTTTGTATAATATGAAACGTTGGAATGTCTTGTATAATCAAATGCTTAGGAGATTCTCAAGATCAATTCTAGTTTACTGACAAAGGTTTAAAAGGTTTATTTATTTAGCCAATTTTAAGTAATTAATATTTTGTATAACTGTGAAATGTTGGAACGTCTTGTATAATCTACTCAAAATGTATCTGTTCAGGAGATTCTCAAGATTAATTCTAGTTTATTACTGACAAGATTTATTTATTTAGCCAATTTTAAGTAATTAATATTTTGTAAAACTGTGAAACGTTAGAACGTCTGCTTAGAATACTCAAAATGTAAGACTATAGCATAATCAACATATAATTTAGCCAATTTAAGTACTAATTAGATTTTTGTTTAACTGTGAAACGTTAGAACATCTTGCATAATCTACTTAGAAGATACTTAAAATGTAAGACTATAGCATAATCAACATATGAAATTAAAAATTTAGCCAACTTTAAGAATTTTGTATAACCGTGAAACATTGGAACGTCTTGCATAATCTACTTAAAATGAATAATACTGACAAAATTTATTTAAAATTTTGTATAACTGAAACATTGGAATGTCTTGTATAATCTGCTTAGAAGATACTTAAAATGTATGATTATTGCATAAAAATTAAAAATTTAGCCAACTTTAAATACCAATTAGATTTTGTATAATGTGAAATGTTGGAACGTCTTGCATAATCTACTAAAAATGCATAAACTGTTCAGGAGATTATCAAGATTAATTCTAGTTTTATCATTATGACAAGATTTACCCAATTTTAAGTAATTAAAATTTTGTATAACTGCTGAACTGTGAAATGTTGGAACATCTTGCATAATCTGTTTAGGGGATACTCAAGTGAATCCCACACACGGTGTGATCAATTAAAATTAAAACTATTTACGTATACTGTATTGTGATGGATATAACTTGCACTTGTCTCGATCTTTCCAACAAATTAATTAAGATAAAAGTTTTGGGTACGAAGATGAAAACTTGCCATCGTTTCTAATGACGAAATTAAAAAACTAAATTGATTTCTAAATTCGAGAAGTAAAATTTTATTTTTAGTTTAAATGTATTTTATTTCATAAAGCTTGGATTAATCGCTTCTTTAGAGTTTATGACTGTGTGCTCTATGGGCCGGTCAAGAACGTGTGCTCAATGGGCCGTTCTTTTTCTATTTCTTTTAACCATAGAATAACATTTTCCAAACAATAGAAATTACAAATTATAACTGAATAATCTGTCGCATAGACTAACATCGAAGTATTTTGGTTGCGAGAAAGCTATATGGAAGTACCATTTATAATTTCTACTAATTCTTATTAAATTTACTTTACATGACTCAGTTTTCTAAAATTCTGAAATAGGGTCAGCCCACTTTGTATTAGTCCTTGTGTCCGTTGGTCATGCTATCATTAAATTATATATTGCTCTCATATGATGATTGATGCAATTGAAATTTGCAAGCATAATGTCTGATGAGAGTTTTTTGTCCATTATCAATTAAATAATTTCTTTTTTATTGTATTATATAATTTGGTTTATCATTCTACTATGTTAATTTGATTTTTTACGAACGAAATAAAGCTTTTTGTATATCGAAAAAAAATCCTAGATTTGGTAATTCCTTGTTTAAATTATATATACATTAATTACAGCAGTTTGCGAATTTGAAGAAACAAGTTATATTAAAGTCGCTCTCGAAGAAACATGGGCAAAATTCAATTTGAAGAAACAAAATTGTTCTTGAGTATCTTTAATAATAAATTCACTCTCAAAGAGTGATTATTACGTAAATTACTGTTTTTTTTTTTAAAATAATAAAAGCTATTTTTTAAAATCAACTTGAGGGTATAATTTCGAATTTTGGCCCATGTTAAGCCTAATTCGGGTCATTGTTCTAAATAACGCCCATGTGGGCATGTCGAATCTCGTACATATTTAACGAGTATTTTTTTACATTTATTTTGCCTAGAATATCTGCCTTAATATCCGGGAGTCGACAAACTCATTTTACATAGCAATAATTGCTCAGCAAAAGATTTTAAAAATCCATGAAAAATAACTTTATTCGGGTTACTTTATTTTATTCAATGTTTGCAAAAATTACAAAATTTTATATTTATTCGAAAGAGATAATTTCACATAATGTTAATTAACAAACATTTTAAAAATTAAATTTATTAGTATCAAATTCTTTATCGTTTGTATCATAAAAACGTCGTGATCGAGCTAAAGGTAGAAATTGTTCTCTACCATCTTCAACTATCTCAGCTATTTTTTCCTCAGAAGCATCAAGAGTACTATTAATTTACAGTAATGTATTAAATTTAGAGAATTCGGTTTATTTATAATAGTATTAGTTAAAAAAAAATTCTTTATCTATATCATTTGATGTAGTTTGAATATTATAACAACTTACAAAATCTTTATCACAAATTTCTCCAATTTTATTACATAGGTCTTCTAATTGCCTAATATCTGATAAATAAATTTAAGATTAGAGAAATATAAATTTGAATTAAAAAGTTTTAATTTTACCTATTTCATTAGAACTGAACACTTCCTGTAATACATAATTAGTTCTTTGAATAACATTATAATATCTTTCAAGCTCTGTTTTATTATCGTCATATCTGCTGGCAATGTGTTGTAATTCTTCTTTAAGTTTATTGTTTTCAGTTTGATATAAATTTTTATCATTTTCTAATCGGTTAATTTTGGAAATTAGTGATTCAATTTGAGTTTTCAATTTGTTAAGCTTAGAATTTTCTAATTCATAATATTTCGCAAAGATCTCGTCTCTATTCAACTATCATGATAAGAAAGATTTACGTTCTTTAATTAATTTTTTAACTATCTTTTTTATTTCACTAACATCTATATTGTCTGAACGAAGCTTCACATTAAGTTTATTTTGAGTTTTTTTATGATGATCTTTGCGAGGCATTTTTTTTTATCAGTCCGAACCATTGTAACTTGTTACTTTAAATATGATTTACGAATCGATTTATCTTTAAACGGAATATTAATGTGAATATAAATTATTATATAACGTTAATAAATAAAGTACTTTTAAAATCTCTATAAATAAAAAAAATTAGAGTAGTTTTATATTATTGCCAAATTTGGAACCGGTCATACACAGTAATAATCTCTTAGTCAATTGCCGTGACCCTATGGACAGTTCGAATTTTTGATCTTTTTTTTTCACGTATATACCGAACTTAAATTATATTTTATATTCGGTAAATATTCGTTTAAATCCGTTATTGATGGGTTCGTATTTGAAAAAAAAAATTTGTTTACGTATGAACAATTAAAACTAAAATTATTTACCAACTAAGTCATGACTTATAGATACAGAAATTACACGTGATTTGTCAAAACTATAAAATTATCGACTGACTCTTGTGGTAGTTCAAAATTATTAACTACATTATTTCCAATCAAACAAAACGAATAAAACTTAATGTCATTTAAACTAAGAAGTCTGCCCTTTCCGGCAAATCAACAAGCTTATTATTTGGAATTTCCGTGGTCATCACAACTGACAAATGAATCTTTAAATGAAGATGCTTCTCAAGGTAAGAAATTATAATTGATAGTAATATAAAGCGAAATTAATCATTTTGTTCATATAGATACAATTACTTCAGAAGATTCATTAACCATGAATGAATTAAAAAAAATTGGTGACAAAATCAACGCTCTTGATATTCTTTTTACTAATGCTCAATATAAATTTTATATATGGCCTTTTACTCTTTCATTTATATTTAATTTGTTTTTTTATTATTTTTATCGCCTTTTTATATATTTTCAAGAAAATTAACACTGAATACACCTTACCAGAAGCATGTATTATTTATGTAAACTAATGTTTGACATGAATATGTTTGAACTTAGATTAGTGAGAATTTTCAAAAGCAATTCTCTTTTGAGCTTTTTATTATTGAGTTAGTATAAACTATTATTTAGTTGATTTATTTTTTTTCGAATCAAATTATTTCAATTATTAAAATATAATTGCAAAGAAATTTACATATTTATTTATCGGCTCCTTAAAAATTTGTATTTCTTTGATTTAATTCAATTTTAATGAAATAAAAAAATTCAAATAAATTTATTTATCTACGAACTAGCCAGAATAGTCAACAGACCCAAATTAAGCCTTAATTTTGCCCACATTCATAATATGAAACTACCTTTTATATTTCGTTCTCCGATGGCAACTAGAGGCCGTAGGAAAATGAAACTAGTACAAATAAACATGGTTCAAAATTTTATTCTTACTGTACAGTTTTCGAATATTATTTTCTCTTTTCTTTTTTTATGTTCGTCTGAACTCTCTTCAGAACTTTCTTCGGTGCTTGGTTCTGAGAATTCAACTGGCAACCATGTTGAATCACTTGATTCCTCCTCGTCACTTGCTGCTCGATTCTCTAACCCCACGTTGATAACTGGTAATGGCTGGTTACTTGTTGTTTCAGTTATTTGTTCTGGTAGGTTATTTGTTGAGTCGTCATATCTGCTGGCAATGCGTTGTAATTCTTTTTTAAGTTTATTATTTTCAGTTTGATATAAAATTTTATCATTTTCTAATCGGTTAACTTTGGAAATTAGTGATTCAATTTGAGTTTCCAATGCGGTAAGCTTAGAGTTTTCTAATTCATAACATTTTGTAAAGATCTCGTTTCTATTCAACTGTCGTGATAAGAAATATTTACGTTCTTTAATTAATTTTTTATTTTATTTCACTAACATTTATATTGTCTGAACGAAGCTTCACATTAAGTTTATTTTGAGTTTTTTTATGATGATCTTTGCGAGGCATTTTTTTATCAGTCCAAACCATTGTTACTTGTTACTTTAAATATGATTTACGAATCGATTTATCTTTAAACGGAATATTAATGTGTTGTCCGGAGCGAAGCGGAGGACACTATGTTTTTACGACCCTTAGTGGTAACGAACTTAGGTCTGAGGCATCAGCAAAATGTGGAGAAGCATTAGCAGATGCTCTTTTCAAAAACAAATTTAACTTTAGATCTTTCATATAATTGATTTGGTTATAAAGTTAAAGAATTAATTCATAAAAATGGCGGCATTACTGAATCAGAAACCATTAATCTATCAGATTTAGAAGATTTTACTAGTTATGATAGATAAATTTTTTACTAATAAATATTAAAAGAGAAAAATTGTTTGTGATGGAGGAAAAAATGCTCTTAATAATAACTTTGAACCTTACTGGTAACAGAATTGGATCCCATGGTGGAAAAGCATTAGCAGATACACTTCACAAAAACAATAGTTTAACTTCTTTAGGTCTTTCGTATAATAGTTTATCTAAATGTTATGCGCATAGAGGCCGGATCAAATAAAAAATTAAGATTACAAAATGGAAAAGTTTAATAAAATTTTTATACTTTAATTTACCAAACTTATATCGAATTATGCTCAAATACTCTAATGCCAAAATTCATACTCAAATAGATTTAATTTTGCTAATTCTACCCCAAAATCATATTATTAGGGCAAAACTCGAATATATAATTTTACTAATAATAATTTATAATTGCACCTCTAAACCACATCGACATTATATTAGAATATAAATTTCTGGAGAAATTAGAGTATAATTCGAAAATAAATTTTTAATGGTAATATAAATTTATACTTGATAATTTCATAAATTTACATTATAAACCTGATTGTTAGTTAAACCAGCTAGTCACGTATAAATTGTATTGTAAAATTCAAAGTGGTCAGACTACTTTCATCTCTATTTTAAAATAAAAGTGATTTTGAATTATTATTATTATTGTATGCTGTGGCTTTAATTAAAAATACGAGAAAAGAATAATTTAAGATTTATACAGAGGATTGGAAATTTTAATTCTGCATGTGATTAAGTTATGCGTTTTGTTCTTTTGTTACAATGCAATATAAATAATATAATAACGCATACCGAATTTTTTATTTTTTTTTATAATTTAAAGTCGTGAATTAAAAATAATTTTTTTAATAATAAATTCGGCCGTAAAACATGAGGTTAATTCATTTTTGTTATCATGTGACTTAATGCCGTAACAAAAATATAGTTATATAATATTATTTTTCTGTAATAATATATTTATAAAACCAGTTTTAATAATTAAAAGATATGTGATGGAATTAATAACGTTTCGAATCTAGCTTTGCGAAAACTCAAAAAAAAAAGAAATATTTATAAAAAGTATTAGTCACATGATAATTTCAATCCGCAGTAACTAGAAAGGAGAATTGTATTATTAAGTGGGCTTTAGGCTGATTTAGGGTCACAATACGAATTCCGGAAGGGTAAGACAAAAAATTAGAAAGTTCGCGTCTTACTTTATAAAAAGTAATTCTGAAGTTATTGTTTGACTGATTTTTGTAAAAACTGAAGCTTTATGTATAAATAATCGAATGGATCACGTCTCTAAATATCTGACAAAAATATTTAGTTAACTAATGACATTTTTATTTGTTTTATGTAATTAGAAAAGAAGATAAAATTTAAGTATTTTATTACTGTAAATTGAAAAATTTGAATCATAAGTGCAGTCGATAAATTTATAGTGGACAAATCACATGTAATTTTTTCGTATCTATAAGTCATCAGTTACTGAGTCAACTTATTATTTAGTAAAATCATAGAAAAAATGGAAA